GTCTGCTCTCACACAAGAACCGAAAGCTTTTCACTCCTAGACAGACAGCAGGGTTTTTTTCCCTTGGATCCAAGAAAAATGTAGGAACATTGGTAGAATGTATTCATTGAGTGTGTCACTGACACAGCTGAGCTCAACTTCTCAGATGTATGGTTTCATTAATTTCAGGTAAAAAGCTGGTTTTCCACAAACCCATTCATATTTTACCACTTGACTAGGCAGGAGCAGCTCACCCCGCCTAAAGGGAAACAAACACCTGTGTTTTACAACCACAGTTTCAGCACACTAGCAGCAGTCCAAAATGGAGGAAACTAAGCTTTTCTTCTTGGGTTCCCTGAACTGAGGAATATTTCACTGTGCTCAAGAACTGGCTGCTGCACGTAGATGGAGAATTAAACCGAAAATCTCTTTTTTGATTTATTTATATATTTGAATACTAAGCAAGAAGAGAAAGTGTCATTCACGATCGGTGACTAAACAAAACCAGTAAATTACTAATTAAAACAAAAGACTTAAGAAAGCCTTAAAAATCTAATGAAATAAATACAGATTAAAAATACAATCTTCAACTTTTATATTGCAAAGACTAGCAGGTCCGGCTTACATAAACCTTCCTATTCGCATTCCTAGAAGTTGAGAAGGAAGTATGACCTTAAAAATACACACAATTCTGTACCCGCTTAAAATGGACATTGTAAGCCAAGACTGCTATTAAGAGAAAAAGCCATCTGTAAAAGCAAGTAAAAAACTTTTTTACAGTTTGCCAGAGCATCCGTACTAAGAACATAAGCAACTGCTTTCCATCACGACCTGTTTTTGTCAACGCGGCTGCCTTGAACTTACCTCTTTCAGGGCTTTTAACAATCGAGGTCGCTTTTCTTCAACACTTTCCCTGGACTGCTGTTTAAGCTTCCTTAGGAGTGCTGTAACTGAACAGAAATGAACTGTAAATTAAATCTATTCTATTTGTTAATTACAGGTTAGTGTCATTATCTGACATCTTGAAAAAACAATGCAAATGTAACATCTCATCAGGCTGTGGAGAAATTCACCTCAAGTTACAGCCTTCTCGGATCACAACAGGAAGAAAAGCCTTTATAATGGTTTGTAATACAAAGTTTACAATCATGTCAAGAGGTCTTTTACACACCTATTGGTAAACATGTGGGTGCACATGTATACTATTGAACACGAGCCCATAGACTGCACAACGTCTACTCCCATTGAGAACATCCTTTAGCAGTAAGGAGCTGACATGCAGAATGTTGTTGGTATATCACAAGCTAGTGCATTAATATATTAATATATATATAAAAAAAATATTATCAGTTTTCTGCTATGAGACACGGTAATACCAAACATCATTAACGTCCACTAGTGAGTAGCGGTAGAATAACTTTCCCCCTGCTACTTCCTATCTGAAGTGATTAAGTAATCCCTGTATTTGCCTACTGGCCTGCTGAGATGCAAGACAAAAGCAATATCCATTGCCAACTGATCTATCAAATATACATATGACCACATGGAGCAGTTCCAATTAGATGATCCATACAGCTAAAATCCATTCTGACCTTGCAACCCCAATTTTAATACAGAATGCTAGCCTACAGCTTTTACAACCACTTTAAGCAAAACCTTAACTCTACTTAGCATTATGTATCCTAACACATTTTCTTTCTTATCAAGGAAATGGACACATGTAGAGCTTGTCATATCACATTTAGGTTTAAAAAAGATTAGCCTATTAAGATACTCTTCAGAGAACTAGAATAGGAGTATTATAAAAAAACCCTAGCTTGAAAATCTTTGTTCTCCCGTTCTGAATGAGGCCCCAATTTCTGATTAATCAGGAAGCAGAGGTTCTTACTCATTTGTCTGTCTCCATAGCTGATGGCTTCTGCAAGAGGGCTCCATCCCTGAGCATTTTTCACCTTTACTGGAGCATTATGGGCTAAAAGCAAGTGGGCACATTCTGTAACAAAATAGCAAAAATTATTTACAATAAACGTGAAGGATGTAGCAGTATCTTTTGTAATAAGGGGAACAATAATAAAGCAAAAGTAGTAGATATTCAATAAATTAAACAGTTTATCAAAATACATATCTGGATTCCAACTCAAACTTCAAACAAACAAAAATAATTTCTGTGAGTACTCACAGCACCTCCCTTGTGAACTAAAAACAATTTTGATCCACCACCAGTTACATAATCACTGAGAAACATCCCCTCTGCTTCTCATACTTTGCTTTTTTATAAAGCTGTATTTCTGTACGTGCATATACATACACATAACTATAGGGCAAATATTTTTAAAACGTAACATCAGCTCTCTCTACGTAATGCGCAAACCCATGTACGAAGACACACATTTCATGGTCTTCCCCCTCTCTCTCAACCCCCTTCGCCAAAGGTCAACGGCAAACCGATTTGCTAGAAATGCGCGTGGAGACACAGACTTCAGGCAACATCAGAGAACATCGCATGTACAGGAGGCAGAGGACTAATGCATCCCTACGTGCTGTAGCATCCTGCGGTAACACGGCATCGGAAGCAGGCAAACAAGCACGCTCTGGCCTAGGACAGCCTCCAAGTACGCGCACAACTGGCTGTACCAGAAGTAACTGGTAGTGCAGGACTACCAACGTGGGTATCTGGCGCACTGGTAACAGAGCACACGACTCAGGGGCATGTGCTCCATCAGCAGAGAGGTACACTTGCAGCGTGCTACCGTTTTGACCAACAGTATCAGCAGCAGCATGCATCAATCCTACCCCTGACGCTCAGCACGCTCACACCGTGCCAACAGAGCAACGTTGACATCTCATCAAAGCCACACAAGGTCCTAGCACAGTCACTTGCACTCCCTTCTCTGCCCACAGGTAAAAGGTAATGGTGGAATGACAAACAGCCCTTAACATTAAGGAGAGAAGAAAGCTTTCAGTATTTCCATGTTTCAAATAAGCTGTCCTCACTTGAAGCGGTCCTTCAGCTTCTAACTACAGAAAGTTTCCTCAACACAACTCATTAAAATCAACCTGACCCATTGCAAATGACAGAGCTGTAGGTTGAAGAAATGCCTCATTACGAATAGGATGGGCAGGCGTGACAGAAAGAGGAACTTCCTGGATTATTCTCCCACAGTAGGTGTTACAGGAAACCGTACTAGTCACTCCAGATGCAACTGTCGTGAGTCACCGGCAAGCACAGTGTTTGGAAAGGAAGAGATACTTCACTGGTGAATATACTATCTTTTGTGGTAAATAAACAAAAGCCCTGACTACTCTGTCAGCAAACACAGAGGTATTTTTATGGCCACTTAAACAGAGTGCCTAACACAACAACAGCGTACAGTGAGCAGGCAAATAAGCTTGCGTTCACCAGCCAGATTACCTTTTCAGTTAAACAAACAGGATGTAAATTCACCTTGTGCTTCAGAAGAGACTGGCTGTAATGCTGCTACATACAGCTGAGCGGTCTGCGTGCATCACCCCAGGAAGACAGAAAACTGACCTTCGACATCAGTGAGACAGACTAACGAGGTAGGAAAGGAGCTGGGGCTCTTGGTGGATCAACAACTGCGCAGGATCCGAAGTTGAAACAGTAAAATCAGGTATTGCGCTGGATGTCATGCATGAATAGCCCTGCTCTAGGCAAGCTGACAAAGGCTCACCGCAAGCAAGAAAAGGAATAGATGGAAGAAATTCCTCTCCTCTCCTCGCTATGCTACATACAAGGATAGCTCAAACTCAAGGAATCTGTCAGCACTGACCAGATTGCTTTTTATCGTACAGCTGAAACATAAAATAACCAAATTTTAAGAGAGACTTAGAATAAATATTCAACCATACTGAATTAAAGTTGGTAAACTCTTTTCTATCAGTTTTATTAGAAGAAGCATCTTTGATCAAAATTGTCTGTATTTATTAAACAAGGTATATGCTACTGTTGTATCTGTATTGTAGCCATATGGAAAGTGTCCCTTCATGACAGCTAATCACCTTTTAAGCAAAAACATGAACCCTTCTACGCCCAGCAGTGCAAAACTTGGAAATATTAACTAATGACCGTGACAAGCGAAAGCTTGAAACAAACCCTGCAATAAGGCACAGCAGAAGTCATACATGTGGCTGATCATCATCGCTTGAAAACACAAAGTAGTTACAAAACCAAAATCTATCCTACAAAGAAAAATGCCTTATTTAAGGCTGAGAAATTAGAGAAAAGCTTCTGCCTCTGTTTCCTTCTGTTGTTTCAAGCCTCTGGTCTAGGACCCTCACCAAAAACCAGCAGTTCTGATAAAGCACTGGTTTTTGCAAGCTGAAAACCCTCCCGAGACTTGTAGCAGGCAGGCACTTGTAAAACATATTTGCCTCACTGCTGCCTCAAAAAGCTTTTGTGTATCTTCTGTTTCTTGTCTTCCCTTTTTTTTTTTTTTTTTTAATTTAAGAAGTAACACAGGCTAGACCAATATTTGGAGATTCCAGCAAGCTCTACTGCTTCTTCTTTGCATAAGCCACCTCTCTCCCTTCTTCCTTCAAAATTACTTCCCACTCCAACTCTCAGTTATCCTGGATCACTTCACAGGTTTTACCAAATTGTCCTAAGACACCTTATTGCACTTCCTGCATTCCCCTCTTCAAATCTGCCAGGTGTTTGATTAACAACAGCTCTCTCATGGAGCAGTACCAAGTACCCGGCACAGGACTCACACGGCTGAATTAAACCAGGCCATTCTTGTTTCAGTCATGAAAAAGAATTTTACTGCCACAGAGACTGAACAATCATACTCCAGGTTTCCTCCCAGTCTTGAAACATGTCTACTTCTACACTTTCTATTTGGAGTAGAAATTTAAATCCTGTGCCTTGAAATTCTACTGTAAAACAATCCCCAAATGGTATCTGGAAGATAAGAGCCATTGTGAATCAGCTGGCTGCACAGAGCTGTAGGCTGTCCTGTGCCCCCGCAGGATGAAGCCCTGACAGTTGAAGAAACAGCGAGGCAGTGAGCCCGAAATTCGAATCAGGTGAGCGAAGGAGTGTGCAAAGAGCAGGTGAGCGATTACATTTCCACTCAAAGAATCATTTTATTCTAGAGGATGTCATTCTGATTCACTTCACTGTGAAAAACCTGAACGTGGCTGTTCAGCCCCTGTAGTGAGCAGATCAGCAACACACACAGTGACACCAACAACCAGAAAAGTACAAAGAGAAAGGGCATCACCACACTGAACATACGGCCCCGCTTCAGCTGCTGCACACCAAAGGGGAAGCAGGCACACACATGCTTGCCTCCACTGCTTAGAGGTCTTTTTCAATCCGCGATATTCCAAGTTTCCCTATTTCCTTCTAAGTCTGCAAGAGAGAGGAGCTGGGTCCACCCACTGTTCTCGTTCTAGGCTCACAGAGAGCCCAACTGCTACAACTCCTTTCCACCCCACCCACTACTGAGCTCCTTCATTTCAGCCTAAAGTACAGCTCTGATTTCTTCTCCAACTTTTCTCTTCTAAATCTGCACGGTGTCTTCTTTTCAGAAAACCTCAACTTTGAACTAGCTCGAAACACAAGATCACATTCAGGAAAAATGAAAAATCTTCTTTTTCCTCTGGTCCTTAAGTCTTCAGGATAATTTAAGGGCTAACAGAATCAACGGTTTTACCCACCTTTATGTCCCAACATCACAGCAAGATGTAAAGGAGTGTTTCCTGAAAAAAATAATAGAAATAAAAAGATATTAAATTCAAGGTAACAGAATCCATTGCAATTCCCTCAGGTGTTTGCACATACAACTCAAATCTTAGGTGTTAAGAAACTTTAGCTACATGACCTAACCAAGGAACACACTGAAATACACGAGAGCAGCTACACTTTTCTAAGTCAGCATTTGGATTATACCAGTTAAATATATCTGAAACACACTTCATGGGCCAAGAGAGCTTTTTTTTAATGATGTCTTGACGCTTACTCCGGCCAAAGAGGTCCAATTGTATCTTCAAGAAAGAGATAACCCAAACTTCTATGCTTATCATGGTCTGAAAAGTCTGATACTTTACAAAGAATGACATATCTAGGTTAAAAGCTACTCAAAGATATGATACTGATTAAAATTTTAAGAGCCTCTTTTATTAATTTTTCAAAGATTTAGTACAAATTTTTTACTAATATAGTATTGGACCGATTGCGAAGTAACAGTAACCTCACTACAGAAAAGCCTTTTTGTTATTTTAATGCCTTGTTTCCAAAGAAAGTTTCTGAGATTATTAGCAGGTATTACAAACATGACCCTATTTCCTGGCTCTGCATATGACACATTTTTTGCTTCTGTTCTCAAATATGCACCACAACGTACAGAGTTGTCCTGTAGTAATGCTGCTACCAGAATTCTGACGCATTTTATTTATGTAGCGTAAGGACACAAAATTCTTCCATCTAACTGTATTGCTCTGTTTAGATGTTTAAACATTTTCTGAGCAGAGTTAACAGAAAAATTGCTGGAAAACAGATTTCTTCTGCAATTTTAACAGATGCACTCAATGTTAGGGTTATTTTACAGTACCATGTTAGCAGTAAGTACTTGCTACGTGCAAAGGATGATGTACTGTACATCTAAAAGATGTAATCCAAAACATCGAGGGACTGCTACACAAAGTGATTGCCAGCATGCTGCAGTCTCATGGAATCTCTGATCTAGATAGGCAAGCAGGCAAAGGCAGAGTTTCCACAAGGTTTTAAATCAGCTACTCAGCATGCAGTACAAATTATTCTTGCGGGTCACTAGCAACAGCACAGACAGCTACATCCTAGTTCATTATGCACAGTCTAACTAAGCTAACCTCGAATTTTCTATTAATAGGTTTTGCAGCATCTGTGAGCCAAAACATCATTTAGGTGCAGCCATTCCTTGCTAAGCGACCGAAATAACAACATTATTGAGGAACACACTCGAGAATGAGCCAAACCATGTACTCAGAAAATTCAAAAAAGGGTAAACATTTTCCTTATCAAGCACTTCAGCGGGATATATATAGATATAAATAGGCCTACATTAAGTTTTCTCTTACATTAATAAACCATAAAATTTTAAAAAAGCACCCCCACCTTTCAAATGGTGAACAAAACAGAGCCAGACAGCTCCTGTAGCTATGATGGCTGGGTACAATGGCAACAAACAACAACACGAAAGCTAACCAGGCTCCTGACAGCGTTCCCAAGAACCCTGCAGGATTTCATTCAGCTGATAAGCAGAAAGAGCAGATGTGCAGTAACACACATCCTTTCAAAACTCCTCTGGACAAGGTTCTGAGCAACCTGATCTAACTCCAGTGCTATCTCTGCTCCGAGCAGGAGGTTGGATTATATCACCCTTAGAGAGCTCTTCCAGCATAGATTTTTCTTTGACTCAATGATCATCTTCACACCAAAAAATATGCAATTCAAAAACTAGACAGGAAACGTGGATACAGCAGACAAGGTGGAAAGGAAGAGAAGCATGCAGAGAAACAGACAGTACAACAACCGATAAAGCACAGAAACTGGAATCTATCCACTCCAGAAGAAAAAAAAAAAAAAAAGCTATTGAACAGGAGGCTGAAAAGAGGTGACACCCTGCCTGCTGGTCTTCAGCCAGCAAGTCCCTGGCAAGGAGGGGTCTAAGGTTTAACAAACATCAGTGAGATAAAAGAATAGGTTAGCTGCTGTACCGAAGGGAGAGGAGCTATGCTGACGGGTAAGCCAGGAAAGTGAACAAGGAGAGGCAAGGCAAACACACAGAGAAGGGACATTAACAAACACTGTAGTTCCTACCATTCTGGACTACCTGGCCAGTCAGGCCCTCTTCTCACTGCCCATGATAAACTCTCCTCCAGACAACTCTTAACCCAGACCAGCTGAGCTCTATGAGCATGGACACAGCAGTACACTGGAGCGTTTATTATCCAGGGCATACAGAGCAGTTCTAGGTAAAGTTAGTCTGACAGAAAAAGGCGCTGAACTTTAACACTGATCAACTTTTCCCTGCCAGTGCACAGTGCAACTAAGCATTTCTGCCAGAACAGGCAAGACGGTGGGAGAGGGCAGTTCCACTTCTTCCTGTTGCATGGATGGTTTTAACAGCTTGAGGTTTTCAGTGAACCACAGCACAAGCCACAACAGGAAGCGTTAGATTCCATGAAAATAAGTAGCTTTACACAAGAGAGCTGCTGGACAAAGAAAGAGAAGGGTGCACATACACTACTATGTCCTTTACCTTTGTAAGAGAGTTGTAATAAAGAGGGCACTGTAAATAATTGAGCTGATGTATAGTTTTGATGACTTCCACGCAATTTAATCATAATGATAATGTGTTTGCTACAATCGTTTCTAGACACCGACTAAAACGTGAATGGGCACATACCCGAACAGTTGCAATCAAATTCATTCTCTTTTGGCAACAGCTTGATTCACCGTATAAACAAACCTCACGCGTTCCTTCCATCTAAAGACAACTTCATCGGTATCTATAGCTTTGGGAAATGAGCATGTATGCTTCCCTCCCCAAGCCATACAGCCTACAGAGCCTTATTCCAAGGAAGCAGTGATACAACAGTGCCTGAAACCTTGCACGTGCACATCCAGGGCATGCAAACAAAAACTGTCCACACAGAAACCCACACAAAACACAGTACTTGTCCACACGCACGTGGGGCTTTTAACCTTTCGCTAGGCACCTGGCACACCTACAAGGAAGCTGAGTCTGTTGGCTAAGGGTAATTCAGCAAGAAGATTTGTCTATTCCAGAATATAAGGTGGTTTTATTTGGAATATCTGTTTAAGCTCCTAAATGTGTATTATAGTAAAAATAAAAGTCATCTAATACATACAAGCTTCTCCCAACAAATGCATCCTTTTTGGAATAATGGTACTGGCCTTCTGACAGGTAATGTTTTTTGAGGTTAATTCAGAGGGCGAGGCGGGCTGCACTCCATTTACAGACACAGCCAGTGGTGGTTTTATCAGAACACCAAGAGTTTAATGTTCTACAGGACTTGGCTTTTCTGCACTTAACCACACGCTACAAATAGGACCAAATTATAAACAGTAACTGTTTCTAGAAGTTCCTTCTCCCCTTTGTCACTTCCTTATCGAGTAGCAGGATTCTTCTGCCTTATTTCTGAGCGTAATTGCAAGCAGAAGTTCTCTACCCCAAATAACTCACAGTTCAAATATGTAAACAAGGGACAGATGGATTCCAGCAGAAAGAAAACAATAACAAGGAATATTAGTCAGGCCTTTGGCAGGTCAAGACACCAAGGGTTTTGTTGTTGGGGTTTTTTTGAAAACTTAGTAGCAAAGGAACACTCAAAGCAAAAACTTAGAGGAAGAGACTGAGACAGAAATCCCCAGAGTTCCTACTGTAAACAGCACTGAGCAAGCAGAGTGACGTTCATTTGAAATTTTTATACATATATGTGTGTGTAAATATAGATATTTAAAAAAGGATGGTATCGACATTTGTGATACACGTTGAGGATGGCAGTGCAGCAAAGATGGATCAGGAAGTGTCTTCAAAGTAAAGATATCAAGCTTATGATGAGTTATTTGATGAGGAATTGGAGGCGTAGGGGAGAAGATAACAGAAGGAAGACATGGAGTGAGAAAATTTCTTCCTGAGTCTGTTGCTTTCATTCTCCCAGTATTTGCTGCAACGTTTGGAATGAAGACGACAGGATAAATATATCTGTAGCTGTATTTATAACAACATACTTAGAAAAACGTTATGGCAGTTGTAAGAAAAACTCCTCCCTGCCTTGATTGAGAAAACCAAGCTTTATCTTATGCCACATACATGAGCTTGTGTTTCAGAGTGCCTAACGTTATCAGGGACGTGGCTTTTAACTTCCAATTACACTACTCTTCCCATCGTACCGATCCCAAAGATCGCTCTACCTTAATGCTCCTTTTGATTTTACATAATACAACTAAGTAAAACAACGGAAACATTTATCTCTTAATCAGAAAAAGAACATAACTGTACCCTTTAATCACCTCTCCAGATGCCACATATGGTATAACTTGCATTCTCCAGCAAAAACGTATCGTGTTACTCTTGAAGTAGGTAGGAAACGTAGAGATGAAAACTAGCCATGAAACTTAAGCTGACTTGACAGGCTGATTTATTTTTTAACAATGTAAAATATCCCCTAAATTAAACATTATTTTTAAGTGTCCTAGCAAGATTTTACATATTTATGCACTACAGAGTAGCACGAGGATCTTACTTCTACCTCTGCTACTGCCACTTCCATGTCCAAAGCAAGCCTGCAGAGGTGCAGAGAACAAGGTTTTGGCTCTTTCAAATCCCACAATTAAAAAAATAAAAAAAAAAGTTTTGCGTTGCCTTTTTTTTTTTTAGCCTGGGGAAAAATCAAAGATAGTTCCACCAACAGCCAGAGGAACCACTCCTGAGTGTGCTCGTCATCTCCGACAGCAAACAGGCGACAGTTCAGACACTTAAAAAAAAAAAAAAAAGGTTTGGGTTTTTTTAAATGAAGTAAGGTTTTGAAGATGAAGCAACACCGGGCAGGAGGAAGCTCTCCCCGCGTTACGCTGTTACAAAAGCTGGTTCCACGCTCGCTCCTGTCACAAAAACCCCGATGATCCTCCGAGCGTGGGGCCGCGCTGCCCCGCAGACATCCCCCCCCGCCCCAAGCCCAGCAGTGAAACACCGGCGGCGATCC